GGAGCATTGATAATGAAAAAGCTGGTATCCTGATTCTTTTGGACTTTAGTAAGGCATTAGACACGTTAAATCACAAACTTCTGGCAGTCATCTGTATCTGTAACGTGTGGAGGGTAAGTTATCCCCACGGCACGTGAGCCTCATTAGGCCCATTGTGCATCCTCCTAAGATGATAGGCACCTCCTAGCTCGTGAGCCAGCCTACAGATTAAATGTAGTTGACAACGTCGCCAGGAGGTGCTTCTCTTATATCGGCCGGTGTTAGCCGATACTCGCCGAACACAAATCTTCTAATAAATGTAAGCGTAATCGTAAAAGATATGCTCGATGGTCTCATCACAATATATCCCCTATAGTAATGTTACTGGGATTCAAGAAATGGCTTTGAGTTACGCTGCGGCCAGACACAGGTCTCATGGCGCTAGTATCGTTATTGATTTTTGACATCGGCACGTTCATTGGTTGACGACGAATTCAAAACAATCTGATCGGAGCGTTACTCACTCCCACTCCTTCTCTTTGTTTAGATACTTATAAAAGAAAGAGATACCAGTTAATAATTCCTATTTCGAATCATCTTTCATTCTGTAGCGTTGAGTTTTTATAAGTGAAGCGTGAAGTGTCAGTGTTGACAAGTGATAATTTTTTGATTTTTTCTTCTACGAAATTTAATATTAATTTTGTTTCAGCGATATTTATTGTGATTTGTGTTGTTGTATTAAGTGCTTTCTTATTTAATATGGGAAACAAAACGTACAACAAACTCAGAAAAAGAGGAATCAAGGAGGGATTGCTATCTATGGCTGTCATCCAAGGGTCTGCGCCCTAGATAATACTTTTCCAGTGGGAAAAGCCTTTAAAATTCAAGTATAACAATTTTATGTTTCCGTTTTCCCTTCTTTTAATGTAGGTGCCAATTTTGAGGTAAGTTTGTAATAATTTTTCATATTTTTTCAGTTAATACCTACCCTCTTAATATTATAATTTAACTATGATCTTATGCTTTCCTATGGACACGATTCAAGGAGGGAGTCCTATGGCTGTCATCCAAGCCCTAGATAATAGTTTTTCAGTGGCAACAGCCTTTAAAATTCAAGTATAATAATTTACTTTTTTCGAAGTAGATGTCCATTTAAACTAAATTTTTTTATTTCACTTATTGATTTTAGCATTTATATACAGTATTGGCTAATGAACACTTTCCAATACGTTTGGCTAGAATCGAAAAGAAAACTAAAGAGTTAGCGCATTAGTTCAATCAGGAAACGAATAATATGAATGTTGCCTTGTGTGCTGTGTAATATGAACAGGCACACGGTGTGATGCATTCCCACGTAGCCGGCTGGCTACGTTCATAGTATTCTATTCCTTCTCCCACTAATGCTAACTCTTTGTAGTTTTTACTTGGACATTAGCAAAACGTATTGTACAACATTCGATAGCTGTCACTGTATTATCACAAACATCTCTTAATAACTAAATGATTTCATTTAATAGTTTCTTTTTTTTTTTTTTCAGTAAAATGGATATGGCTAGAGTTATCTTCGTCTTTAAAATATATTAAATAAGTTTTATAATTTTTCAAATAAAATACTTTATACAATTTTTTGTTTTTTTTACCAGAGCCAATTTTTTTTCAGATCTAACCTCTGTAGGTAAAAAATAAGTGATTTAGGTAAAATTGAAAAGTATATTACATGTTCTTTTAAATGTGTTGTTAATCCAAATGCTGCTCTTATTGTAATAGCTAATAATAAAAGAATTAGTATTATTTTTAGCTATCAAAATAAAAATAGCGCCTGGATTTACAGCTCGTTTAATCGAACATGCAATATACTTCTCAATAATTATTGATTTAAAAATTCCCGCCATTCCGCGGCTGAAAATTTACAATTTTGGCGGGAAATTTAAGTTTCGCCTTTAAATTATATTTGAATTTACCGCCATATCGAGTTAGTTGAGCGGCCAGACACAGACGCATTCTTGCGCTGCAAACTTAGTGCCAACTCTTTAACAAGTGAGATGCACTACTATAGGGGATATATTGTGGGTCTCATCATCTTGTTCGCACCCTCCGCAGAGTGCGGATTCTGACAGCCCCATGTTATGGAGATGCTTCCGTACTTGGCAATGACCAGTCAGAATGCCTGTGACCAGACGCAGATTCTGTCCAGTCATAGTCAAGTATTTGTTTGCTGCAGTGTTGTCAGGATAACTTAAGAGCTCCCTGGCAACTCTTCAGTTTCTTGTTTCATCCCATCTTTCTTTGAATTTCACAAGGGAATGTTCTTTAATTAGGTCTGTCACTATCGATTTTGTCAGGCCAATAGAAGGGTCAGGTACAAAAAGTATTTGGTTGGCTGCTTTTTTGGCTAGTGAATCGGCAAGACGGTTACCTTTCGATGTAGCGTGACCTTTGATCCATCTTAACGTGACCACATTGTTGATGGATACTTTGGCCAAATCTTCGTGACATTCTAGTACTAACTCTGAATAAATTCGTGGTCTGTTCAGGGTGAGTAGTGCTTGTCTGCTATCTGTATAGATGGCAGCTAAGTGCTCCTACTATGGATTTGATAATACGTCTCTTAATTTAATAAAAACTTATTTGCCTAACCGCACTTATTTAGTTCTAGTGGATGGTCAAATGTCTTCTTCGATCCATATTGAATTTGGTGTACCTCAGGGCTCTATCTTGGGTCCCCTTTTGTTTCTAATATACCCATCTGACTTATACAAACAGGTTAATAATTGCGCTATACAATTTTTTGCTAATGACACTCAGATTATTCGAGATTTTTATTTTCATGAATGTGATAGTACCATGAATATTATAAATCATGACTTAAAATTTTGTACCTATGAATTTCGGGCGTAAACAGCATTTATGGACATAACGCCTGTTATATACCCTTGATACATAAATAACTATTGAAAAATTCCTATAACTAGTCAAATAAATATTAAGAGGTGTTTACCTTTTTATTAGCGAGAGCTGGGTGCATAGGTTTTGAAGACACTTTTTTTAATACGATTTCAAACGATTTGCTTATCTGTATTTTAATTATAGTAAAATAAGACCATGGAAATCGTATTAAAACTAAAGTATTTTCATAACCTATGCACCCAGCCCTCGTTAATAAAAAGGTGAACACCTCTGCTGAATTTAAGCTCTTAATTTCTATTTGACTAGTTGTAGTAATTTTTTAAATAATATTTAATTTTATGTCCGCAATATAAGACACCCTGTATATATTTGAGGAGCAATGTTGAAATTTGGTGAGACTCTTTTTGACTGAATGTATACGCCCAATCACTGTAAATTAAAACGTTAATTTTATCCTATTTTAAGCTATTCTGGCTATTACGAGAATTAAGGTACTTTGGGGCCTATTCTGTAACAATTCCTTTATATTTAACGGCCTTTAAAAATATTTTTTTTTCTTTACTTCTGTCATTACTTAAACGGATCTTTAATAGTATATTATGCAACGATCATGTAATGATGGTTATTAATACACGAGCATTAACCGGGATACGAAACGAGCCAAAGGCGAGTTTCGTATGGTTTATGCGAGTGTTTTAATAACCATTACATGAGAGTTGCATACGCTATTTTTTCTACACCCGATAAATAATCAAGACCTATAAATATTATATTTATATTGGTATTGAACACAACAGTAATTACTCGTATTTCTATAAAAAATTCTACAAAATTGTAATTAATGGTATTACTTCAGGTATTGGTATTTCCCTAGATTTTTGCGGTAAAATATTTTGTACTGTATTTTCTGCTTTCTCCGATATGTGTGGAGGAGTCTTCTATATCGCTAATATCAGACATTTTAATATTATAAGAACCTAGGACAAACGTCAAACAGCATGCTTGATTGAAAAATTGTAGGTTTCTATTGATTAAAAATCTGTATCGTAATGAAAAATCTGTATCATAATGGGTATCATTATGAAACGGATTATGGGCATATAAGTGCATTATTATAATACGGGTGTAGAAAAAATACATTAGAGGACTATCTTAAAGAAATCTGTTTAAATAATGACATAAGTAAATTAACGAATACGAACATATTTTTATAAGCCGCCAATATTTTTAAAGGTCGTTAAATATAAAGGAATTGTTACAGAATAGACCCCTTTATTCCTTATAATTGAAGTTAGCTGTGAAATTTAAATTTTTTGGGTTGTTACCTACTTTAGTAACTTACACAGAATGACATTTATTACTTGACATTTTCATTCTAAACAAAGTTATTACTAATTATCCTTCCTCCATGGTTATTACTTCGAAATGATCCTGCAACAAAAAAGAAAAATTTAATTTATTGAATATCGAAATCATAATCAAAACATATAAAACTACAGAAATTATTAAAAATGTCCATTTACTTTTAAACACAAATCAACTCTTCTTCGCAATCCGGCAAAAAAGTTATGCAACATTACCAGTGAGTTATTGTTCTCTTTACACTTTTCTGTTATGCGATTTCTCAGTTCTTCCAGATTACCAATTGCCGTTGAAAAAATAGGGGAGACTGTGGGCCATGCTCCCTCCCCCGATGTAAAATTCTTACAATCCATGAGTATTTTATTAACAAAATATGCTGAAAAGGAAATTGTTATTAGCAATGGCCCCTCGAAAATTTGGCCTAGAGTCGCCCTTGGGCTCGTTAAAATAAAAAATAATCTGTTTGACTTTTTAGAATTAGCTTAATTAAATAAATTTGGTAAAAGTTAAAATTATATCCTCTCCTAAATGCGTTAAAGTACTAAATATTAAAAATACTACTCTGTTTTCGATTAATTAAAATTTTCAAACGTTTGCCTGTAACATTTTTTTTAAAACTTTTCACTCTCAAATATTTTGAAAGACCTTGTATTAACAGCTCCAATATAAGGAAGCCAGATAACATAATTATGGGAACCGCAAAATTATATATACACCACACACTGTTTACTAATAAATTTTTATTACAGTAGATAACTTGAAGTGAATCGGAAGCGTAACCTACTCACTAAGGATACAAATTATTTTAACGATGGATTCGGTGTTTTACATACTTCTTCTTACAATGAAATTATTGTCACACATTGTCCGCCCGTTTCTTTTTGTGGCTTCCAGAGGAAAAAGGCAGATTTTACCACCTTTAAAAAACGACATATTAACAATTAGTGCAACAGAATTAGCTGAAAAAATCAGAAAGAGACAGGTAAGCTTTTCCTTCTACTTATTTTTTACACGCTAGTAGGTACTAATAGTTTCAATCAATTAATTGCCTCACTCTTAAAGTGACACTGGAACAACAGAACATCATTTTACGAATTAAATCCAATAACATTTATGCTAATTATTAAATAATTTAATTAATCAATCTTCCGACATCACAAAACCTTACAATTTAACCAAATTGTTAGAAATAAAAAACAAAATATTATTAGGTAAAATTAAAAGTAAAAATGTAAAAAAAATATATGCATGCACGAAATATTAATTTTAGGTAAATTAAGTTAAGGTACTGTGACTTGACAAACCGGGCCCTAACCTAGTTTTTCAAATACCCTTAACCTTGGCCTAAATTTCGTCTAGTTTATCCCCACGAAGTGATGTTAAAAACCCCCAATGTAGCTGTAATGGAGGAAGAACAAAGAAAACACCGAGATTAATTTTGAATACTGTTTATTTAACATCTATTCTTTTGTACAGCCGTACATTTAGATTATGTGCCGTTTTTAAGCTTAACATTATGTTTATGTAGGCTTTTCAATGTGTCATTTCTAACCTCAGAGCTTTTAGTTCCCATAAAAGGGTAAAATAAAAGTCGGAAGTACTTTGGTATATTTGTTTGTCTCCTAATATACAATCACACGTTTCCACGGAAATACTGAATTACGCATTGTCCAATAAAAGAGAGTACAGCGGTAGCACGAGGAGTGTTGTGAGATATAAAATATTGCGTCGAATTGAAAACCTCCTCCTTTTTTGAAGTCGGTTAAAATTAATATTTCTAATATGTGTAAAAACCGGAGTGTAGATTTACCTCACCGTGCGTCACGCCTTTCTCTAATATTCCAATGCCGTAATGTACTGACATACTCAGGGGTCTATTCTGTAACAATTCCTTTATATTTAACAGCCTTTAAAAATATTGGCGGCCTATAAAAATATGTTCGTATTCGTTAATTTACTTCTATCATTATTTAAACAGATTTCTTTAAGATAGTTCTCTAATGTATTTTAAAGATCCGTTTAAATAGTGACCGAATTAAAGAAGAAAATATTTTTAAAGGCCGTTAAATATAAAGGAATTTTTACAGAATAGACCCCTCAGTCCTGTATGAAAAACACTGAACGGTCGATCGGAGAACACCTGATATAAAGGGGGATGCCCGTCAGGCCCACTTTTGGGGTATCTCAGTAGATATCCATCCAAGCCTCTATCAGGCTTTAATTTACATAGCCGCAAGGCCGAATCCAAAATTCTCATTTCCAAAAAAACGATCTAGTTATAGTGTTTCCAGACTCAATCCAATATAGGTGTTGTACCGGGATTGCGTAATAATTCGCGTTACATACTATGCGAATGTTACAAATTCCATATCCTCACATTGCAAATAAGCGTGAACCGTCTTGGTATAGCCTCTGATGTGGCACACTTAAGTTTTAAACATCTACGCACCTACAGTTGATGTTAAGTCCACAAGTGAGCGGCCAGAATTGCAGGCTCGTCTGGCTGCTTTAGTTGTTTTATCTTTGATCAGTAGCGTGCACGGTTTTAAAATGTTTCCCAAAGCGTTTGTTATAAACTTGTTTTAATTTTTCGGTGTTTCTGTTAAATTTTGATTTGTGTTATACGAGATGCTTTCTGGAGACCTTTGAGGTAGATGTAGATGCTAGAGTCATAATTTTACATGCCGGAAATGAAAATGACTTTGTAGCAAACGCTTCGCTACTTTCAGCAAAATATGCCAATAAAGCTCTGCTGGTTTATCATGAAGATATGAATGCAGCAGTTTTTAAGAAATGGTCTGCTGAACAACTTTTACCGAATATTCTAACTAATTCAGTCATTGTAATGGACAATACGCCATATCATTCCCGGCCAATTCACAAGAAGCCAAGTAGTGACTCTAAGAAATCAGATATATCAGAGTATTCAAAAGATAATAACATTGATAGTCCTGCTTCCGTAAAAACAAAACCACAATTGTTACAAATTGTTAAAGTAAGAATATTCCAATACGGTATTATATTGATAATTTTGCATAAGATGATGGATACTGTATTGAGGTTACCACCTTAATATTGTGTACTTAATCCAATTGAATTAGTTTGGTATTCAGTTGTCCGTCTTTGACTGACGTTTGGAAAATTTACATTAGTCACGTCCTAAAAAGGAAAAAGAATATCATATTTTACCTTCTATAGCTCCAGTAGTTATATATCCAAACCTCGATTCCTCGACAGATGGTTCAGATTTAGATTGGAATTAACTTTCTTATTTTTCATTATTGGTAATCCGAGAGTCATCAAATTAATTCATTGTTAACATTTTATTAGTTCGTATTCATTTATTTCTTTTAAAACATTCATTTTTCTAAATTATTTTATAGTTTTGTTTTATTTGCAAGGAATTTATTTTCCTTTATGGTTTTTGCTTTGAAATTTCGTTTTCCGGAAAAAAAAAAACGAATGGGATACAAAAAGAGATAAGTTCACGTCTGGTACCCTGTTTGAACCAAACGCCCTTACAGGCAGGTACATCTTACTCGTCTATTTACGTTTTATAATTTAATATTCAGTTGTAGCAAATTAACGAGCTATAATAATGATTTTTTTAAGTTTCAAGTAGGACTACAATTAAGTGCATCTATCTAAATAACGGGTATAACGCCGTCCAATTTATAATCATTCCATCGCCCTTTAACAAATACTTTCTTGTATTTATAAAAATATTAAATTTTTAAAATGAGGTATCTACGCCTGTGACAAATCAAACAAAATTGTCGGTAAGAGTTCAGAACGAGTTTAATGAAAGAACTATACATAATTATTAATAATTTAATTTACTTAATTTTAATAATAAAATTGGTACGCCCATGTGCGCGGTCCCTTTGAAGTCGGTTGTTGGACTTGTTGGATTGTGTCTAGAAAGACTATAATAGAAATTAAAAAAAAGGGATAATTAAAACTATTTTTATTAGCAGATGGCATACGGCAAATGGCTGCAATAAAAAATTCATATATTCATTATTTTTTATTTAGTGCCATCACTAATAAGTAAACTAGTAAATAGAATAAAATACTAAAATAGAAAAGAACAATATGAACATGATTACTTCGCAAAAATGTCAGCCATACATCATTGTGCGAGTCAATATGGGTGAAAAGTGAATTAACAAAATTATTGAAAAATATTGTATACTTCCAAAATTTCAGTCTATGCGGGAAATTTCCAGTCTAACGTCAACACTGCCACGTTGTGTCTGCTTTAAATTGCAGATCATTTTATTTATTTATTTTTTTTATTATTATTGACTTTTTCATAAGTGTTTTACATTTTTCTAGGACATTTTATTTTCCTATTTCCCTGCTATATGAGTTATCCTCCTTTTCAGGGTGGTCTGCCCTGATTACAAAAGTAACCTAGCTAGCTATTTCCTAATGGTGTCGTGTGCACGTGTGGGACCTGTGTGGCAGGTTGTGTTCCCCAAAAATATCGCCAATTTTGCTATTTCCTACCCCATAAATGGACAAGTCTAAGTATAGGGTGGGGAATATGATTTAGGAAAACCGCAAAACCTAAATCACGATATTGTACATATACTGTGAATTTTTAATTATATGATTTAGGAAGGGTTTATTGATGCTTAGGGGGGCTGATTCCAGCAGATCATGAAGTTCAGCGGTGAGGGGAAGGTCTTGGGAGTCTGAGAGAAGTCTCAGATTAGGTTGTGGCATTTTTCTTTTCGGTTTTCGAAAAAGTGGAAGTTGGTTTGGGCGCCATGGGGTTCATAGAGTGTCTTGAGAGTGTGTGTTGGTGCCTTTCAGCGTGCAAGAGACATATTGTTTCCTGAGGGTTTGGAAACGTGTGAGGATGGGGGGGGTGTTGGAAATGTTTTCGAAAACTTGCTGGGGGAGCGAGAGGGGAGATATTGAGACCTTCCATTTGCTACACCAGTGAAAGTACTGGTTTAACAGATTTTGGGTTCGAGTATTTAGTTGGTTAAAATTTTTGGCTACCGAGATTAGAGCTGTATCGTCGGTGTATAGGAGGCATTTGGATGTAGGGTGGTTTGGGGGGGGATGTCGTAAGTGTAGATGAGGCAGAGGAGAGGGGCCAGGACGGAGCCCTGTGGAACACCCGCGAGTGGGTTGAATGTGTCTGATAGGGAGTTGCCCACTTTGACTGCGATTTTTCTGTCTGAAAGGTAGGAGTGTATGAGCTTTTTGACTAGTCCGGCATGCCAGACTTGGTCGAAGGCTTTTTGATCATCTAAGAGAACGGCTGAAGAGATTTGTTGAGAGTTTACTGCAGTGACCGCAGTAGTGTGAAGGGAGGAGATTGCGTCCTGAGTAGAGTGGTGGGGTCTGAAACCATGTTGGGATTGAGGTATGTTTCTCTCTTCATAAAACTCCCAAATTCTTTCCTTGAGCAGAAGCTCGAGGAGTTTCCCTAGACTGATATGATAGAGATGAGTCTGTATGAATTTATGGATTTGGTGGGGTCTTTGCCTGATTTGGGGATCAAAATGGTGTTTGCGGATTTCCAGGCAAGTGGAAAATAGGATAGGGAGAGGCAGGAGTTTAGGATAAGGGCGAGGATGGGAAAGATGGTTTCAGGAAGATGCTTCAGCGTTCTTCTGTGAATGGAATCCGGCCCGGAGGCCATGTTTTTGCCTGCTTGGCAAGCATATTGGATGTCTTGGAGGGTGAACTGGGGCGGCGAGTGTCTGAAGGGCGTATTGTTCGGTCTCGTGTTTGAATTATCCGTCAAAGGGGGGGGGGGGGGGTTGTCGGGGGTTCTGAAGGTGGCTTCAAGGTAGGTTTTGTGAAATAAGGCTTTTTCGTCGGGGGTTGAGTGGATTTGTCCGTCGATTTGGAGGTGGGAGTGTGATTTGGTTTTTTTGACCCGTGATGATTCGGAATTTATCCCAAAACTTGGAACCTCTTTATGATCCAAATTAGAAGTGGTATTGATCCATAGTTGCT